CATGACTGAAGGCTCAGGTGGGTGTTACCCCTAGCTCTGCAGAAGGCAGAGCATATAGCTGTGCTGACAAAGGAAAGAGACTGAAAAACCAAACTGGGATCTCCCAGGCTAGAGTGTGTCCTGTGGGACGACAAGAAGAGCAAGACAAAGGTGATGAGGGGGCTGCTGCTAAGTAGTCCTTGAAATAAGGTGGTAAAGACAAGCATGAGAAAGGGTTCAGTCTTGTAGTGGGCAATCGGGTAAAACCTTCATTTTTTAAGCTTACCCATGTGACAGTTCTCAGATTACAGCCCTTGAGGCATACAGTCAGGGATTACCTGCCAATTAATTTCCTTACGGGGGAGATTTCCCATTATGCCAAGAATCTGCATGGTCTGCGTTAGTGCTGCCCTAATGCTGTTCATGAGGAAGAGGTTGCTGATCACCTTTGCTATAGAGAGGCAAGTGTTATTTCACTGCTCTCATGAAAACTGTTGGTCTGGATAGAATATACTGTCATCATCTAGCCCTGGCATCCAGGGCTGCAGGAAAGCCCATAAAATCATCCCCTGGCATTAACCATTGCAACGTGAGAGAAAGGAGTGACGAGAAGGTAAAATTCACAATTAAAATTAAGCTATAAACGACCCCTCAAAGATATGGGGCCAAATTACAACACACTAACCAGGAACAGCCTGTGCCTGTCCTGCTGACATCCTCTATCTGCCTCACAGACAACACAGAGCCACCACCGAAACAAGGTATGGTTCAGTTTGAGTAGGAATTTCTGGGGCCCTAAGGAAATACCACCACAGGAGCTAAGCAGCACCACCAATTTCAAAGTCTCTGTGTAGAAGGAGTCATTTTTTAAGTAGCATGATTAGACTAATTAAGTTCTGTTTAGGTTTTAATTTGCATTTTAAGGATTTGATTACCCACCAGTAAGAGAAGAGACTGATTCTCTCATGTATTTTATGACAGTATGTGACACAGTCTGCACTCTCATGTTTACAAATAAATAAAAATAACATATGTAAATTAAATTATGTTTTATTCCATATCACTGCTATCAACAGCAGGAAACTAACAATGCTGATTGCTATTACTAATAATAACATTATCTCTTACTGATAGTTCCATTCTTAGAAAATTTATTTCATAAATCCCTGCTGTACCATTCCAAATTCTAACTGTGACCAAGAGACATAATCCATTTTTAATTGAGATTCAATTACCCCTTTTTTCATTAAATTAAGTTTAAGCTGCAAGCATATGACTACTGTGCAGGGAATACCTAGAGCTTACCAAAAAAAATATCCACAGGAGTTTCTGAATAACGGGGGGGTTTGCCCATAGGCTTTTTGTATCATATGTGCGTTATATGTAATTTTATTAAAACATAAATTGTATAAATTAAATAATAGAAAATAAAATATCGTTAGAAGATTATGTAAATTTGCCTTTTGTCTACTCACTCTGTTTTTGGAACTTCTTTTCTAAGCCAGTAGAAATCAGATTGGGCTGCATATTTGCGAGTTTGCAACACATTGCTGAAATAGTCACTTTCAGTAAACTTCAGCTGTATAGATAAAGCACAGACATTTTTAAAGCATGTCCAAGGAAACAAAAGCTGACATAAAACTAGCACAACTTTTATTTTAAATGAGATAATCACCTAATTTTTTAGCCATTGTCAAAGCAAGTGAAGTTTTCACACTTGGTAGGAAGAATAAATACTTTGTGAGCTTAGTTAAAAAAACAGTGTCTGAACAAATCAACACAAGGGACTAGAACATTGAAAAAGCTCTTCCCTGTGCAGAGAACAACTGAGGAAATCAGTACCCAACGATGAATTGCAGACTGCATGTTTCTAAGGCTGTTATCCAGGCAGACTCTTTTATACAAAGAAGTAGGTCTACTTTCATTTTTAAAAGTGCATTTTAAAACCACTTTCAAAAATGTAACAAAGCCCCTTTTTTCAGTTTCTTTTGCACTTTATTACAAATACTTTGTACTCTGTACCTTCCAAGGGTTCTGCCACTGCTTTCTTACTGTTTCTCGCATTAAATGCTTAAAGACATAAGGCTCCATGCTTCCATAAGCCTCCAAATCTAATAACCCTCACACACACACACACACACAACTAACCATGCAAGAAAAAGGGATGTTAATATTTTATAAATCCAGCTGATATCCCTGTCACCAGTTTCAAGCAATTCTACAGCTTTTGAGGAAGTTATACTTCAGATTTAAACTATGGTTTTGCAACCGTGATTAACAAGTGTTTTTCACTAGACATTACCACTTATCTGGGCAAGGAATTCCATACACTGAGTGGTAATTTGGTCACATCCTCCATCTCATTACACTGCCTTCACAGCACCATCCCACCCTACTCTTTCCAGGAACAAGGAAGAGGCTTGCAGAGTTAGTTCTTCAAAGTTTTCTCAATAAATTATGCCTCTCTTTAGTGTTCTTTCACATTCTCTGGCAAAGACGACTATCACTCTTGTATTTTGCCAGTTCAGGATTAATTTTGTGATTCTATTTTGCCTGTGACTTTCAGTTATACAATTAATCACATGCGTGCCACAGTTACCCCTTTGGAAAATGGTAAAATATATTATCTTCATCATCTGCCTTCCTGCTTTAGTTAGGCTGAGCAGATACTGGGTCAGGAAGGAGTCCTCCCCACAGTGTCCTTGTCCAGCAGCCAGCATGGTAAGCTTATACATTGGTTAGGACCTCTAGGCACGATTGTAACCAACAAGCATAAATAAATTCATAGCCTGGAGAGGTGGGGACAGCCTATATAAGGCACCATAAATTGTGATATTCTGAGGAAAAATGCATTAGTATTTTTGAAGACTGTTACTTTGAGGAGAAATGTTTTTTTTTTGTTTTGTTTCATTTCTATAGCTGAATGCAAAATTTATGCCAGCGTATATTTAACCTTTAAAATGCTTAATAGCAGGAGGGTTCTTTGTTCCCAGGCAAATTTTACTCCCAGCAGGCCTCATGGTCATCTCGCTTAGACACACTGGCATTGAAAATTTAGACATGGGAGCTAGCATACTTAATTCAACATCTAAAAATAACCAGGCAAGCAGAACTCCAGATGCATGCCAAACAAAAGAAGAGCTTTGATTCTCAGCAGCACTAAAACAGAGCAAAGAATGGCTGCAATAAGTAAAAGAAGAAAGCTGCAAGTCTGACACTTACCGTTTTGATGTCTTCATTAATATATGTGTCATTCATTATAAACTGAGGGTAACCCACTTTTGCCATAACTGTTTTTGCCTTTGAAAAGAAAAAAAGGGAAAAAAAGTATTAGCAGATATAACCATTTCTCAGCATATGGCCTTTTATTTTTTTTTCCCATTCTATTTCCACTTTGTATTATTGTGCCTCCCTGAAGGCATCCTAATTTAACTTCAAACCAACTTGCTTACAAGGTAAACTTGGTGTCACACATGAGCTTTGCATCACAAAATGGAGGGTCCAGGTTCTGTTGTCAGATTATCACAGTGGGTCTGTTGTCACCTGCAGAGCTTTTGCAGACTTACAGCAATGTGTTTGAGCGCAAAATCTTAACAGCTGATTTTCCCTACTGGTTTTTGTGTTAATCAGATGGCCAAATGCCTGTTTTTACAACGTTTTCCAAAAGATGGCAGGAAATGGCCTGTTTTGCTATGGCACAGTAGCTGGTACACATCCAACCGTTAAAAAAGATTTGATACACAGATACAGATGAACCTGTGTCCCAGCAAGTGCAGACTGGCATATTTCCACTGAGGGTCACTTCCATTTACACCTGAGGATGGGTGCACACTTTTCTGAAGGACAATGTATTTCCGAAAACCACGTGGCTAATCTTTGTTTCATTCTCCACTTTCATCCCTCTACTTTGCAGTCTATGCACTTTCCCTAACATCAGGAAAGGTGTTAAAATAAGACATTTCACTTTCATTAACTTTGGGTTTTTTCCTCTTTCAGTCATGACTTGGTCCCAGTGTTTATGTGCAATCTGTGTAAACATTCTGGTGTGAAGTGATAACAGCTGTAGGTGAGTACTCCCACTTCGTAAATCATGGCATAAGTATATAAACAGCCTTAGTAATGTCCTCACAAAAACACCAGCAGGCTGCCCAGCCACCCAGAATCTCTGTGGAAACAACGTGTCTCCAGAAGCAAAGCAGAAGGATACAAAAGGATAAGGCTACATATCAAGAAGTGGAATATGACAAGTCCATAGAATAAATCTAAAGCCATGATGGACTAGGGTAACACAAAGCTTTCACTTTGTATGTTTTCAGGATACTGAATGTAATTTCTCCTTAAGTATTTGAATTCCCCCCCCCTCTTCTGGAAATTTGTTCTTCAAACTCCAATGTTTAAATTCAAGTGAATATTGCAAGACATGAAATGCAATAAATAGATTGGCCTTTAACCACCTGCAGCCATACCAATCCTGCATTCTGCTCTCTGCGAGCAGAGCCCAGACCTTTCTCAGGGCCCACTGACTTCTACTTCCCTCTTGCTACGTGGGGTGGCTGTTCAGGGGAAGATTCCCCTTTCTCCACAATGAAATCCTTGCCCCCTTCTTCCCCTCCACAGTGTCTCAATACAACAGGGCCTCCTATGACCGCAAGAATTAGAAACCTCTATTTCACAACTATAAGAAGGAAGCTGATGGAGGACTCCCTTTGTTTAACCAAAATTATTTTGTCTCCTCTTTTATTTTTTCAAGAAGAAAGGCCTCTTTGCTTCTTCAAACTCCTTCAATTTCTCAATCTCATTTCCAACCCAAAGTCATAATCCCCCATTTGTGACATCACAATTAGTTGCAGTTGAGATAATTAAGATGTCACAAACAGAAGATTACAACTTCAGGTAGGAAATTAGCAGCAGGAGCAGATGAACTCTTAAGCAAGAAAGATCCCATTGTCATGCAAATATCCGTAGTGATAAAAAAAACAATGGAAGACAAATGCTGAACAGGAAATATGAAATGAGCCAAATTAACTCTCAGCAGAATGTTTTCTCATTTTCCCAGAAGGCAGAGCAGCCTTTGAAGATATTTTAAATGCTGGGGGGGGGGGGGAAATAAAAAGCAGGGAGTGGTGGGAGCACAGTTCATCTGAAAGTTTGTATATATTCTATGATTCTATATTCAAAAGTGTCTATTTTTTTTCCTGGTGGTGTTGTCAGGTCCAGCTGACTGAACTTTGCAAGGAACTGGAAAATTCCCATTTTCCATTTCAAATGTTTCAATCCTAGTTGTTATATTAGTCTGGAAAAAGCAAAGTACAAAACTCATCAGTTTTACTTTTTACTAAGTCAGCTGCTTAAACAAGTTCAGTTAACCTTGAATGTTCTGCATGTGTTCTGGAGTACCCATCTGAATCACTTACAGTAGCCTCTGTGTTGAATCTACTTAATTGAGCCCCTTAGTACTTTGATTAAACAGATTTAATTTAAAAACGAACTTACATGATGAAGACTAAACTCTTTAGAAACAATTTATAGTGCAACTTTGCAAAAAACAGTGGCTTTTAAAGACAAAGTAAGGATTAACTGTGTCAAGTACACTGTCATTTCACCAATGATTTAGCCAGTACAATGTCGATTAAAAGTTGTTGATCATGTTTTGGTACATAAAAGAACAGTTTTGGCTTTGAGCTACATTATATCCTTTAAAAACACTCAATTTCTAGAATGCCTTAGCCAGTACGATGTCAATCAAAAATGTTGATCATGTTTTGGTACATAAAAGAACAGTTTTGGCTTTGAGCTATATTATATCCTTTAAAAACACTCAATTTCTAGAATGCCTTCCAAATAAAAGCAAATAAATTCACACCTCGCTGGCTGTAAATGCAGAGAAGTATGAAGCCAGCCTAGATCTGGCAGCGCTTCTTTGCTGAAAGAAGCAGAGATGGGCCCTGCCTTCGAACCCATGGTGCTAGTTGTCTGGTTGTGACCACAATATGTCTATCTCCACTGCATGGACATCTTGGAGTCTTTGTGGAATACAGAATCATAGAATAGTTTGGGTTGGAAGGGACTTTAAAAGGTCATCTGGTCCAACCCCCCCTGCAATGAGCAGGGACAGCTTTAACTAGATCAGGTTGCTCAGAGCCCCATCCAACCTGACCTTGAATGTTTCCAGGGATGGGGCATCTACCACCTCTCTGGACAACCTGTTCCAGTGTGTCACCACCCTCATTAAAACAAATATCTGCCACATCAGTCTCTTCTTCCACAGCAGCCCACTGAGAGCGGCAGCTTGGAACTGCCATGTTTTGGCCCTTTTAGACCCCATTCCTTAACCAAACATCTCCAAGGGTGAGGATGATTCCTCCAGGCTCCTTAATAATCGGTCTGACTTAGGTTGACCTAAATATCATATATAATCTTAAAATGTCATATGTAATCATATAATTAATATTTAACATTCATTTTATATTTTAGTGATGCTTAAGTCCTTTAGTCTTGTCATGGCCCTGATGCATTAGAAAAGGAAGATGGGAAGAGTTCTCCCAACCAGACTACCTCAGGAGAGCTGGGCTCACTTGTCAGGTCACACATACTCTTGCTTTTTGTCTTTGACAATTGATGTGAGCTTAAGATTTCCATGTACAAGGAAAAAATGTTCAGGCATTACTGAAATATTTTGTTACAAAACCTATACAAAACCCTAGGAAATAATAATTTGTCTCAAAGAGTTTTTTGAAAGTAAATTCAAAAGGTAATGCTGCTCCTAGTACTTTGATATTTTATCAATGGCTAAAGCAGTCTTTATTTTGTAAGAGATAGATAGATAGATAGATATGAAATATGGGGGGGTTTGCATCTGTTACTTAGAAGTTTTTACCACAGTCTGTGTGTTTTAGAAGTCTGAGCAAGACACACAGACAGCTATATACTCTGTAATGACTAAACTCTAAGGTAGACCTTACTAGCACTGTGTAGACCTTACTACCACTATAATTCCAATGCCGTCTTAAATGTTCAACCAGTCATGTAAGCTAACAGATTCAGAAAAGTACACACTTTGTTACTACACCACCAAGTTAATTTGTTGTTAGAAAACATAGGTACATGCTTAAACACCATTACAAAGCTTCCGGACCATCTAAAATCACAACAGAACAACATCCTTCAGGACCCTTTTTGAGAACATCTAGAGCAAGGGCTGATGGAGAGCAAACTGGTACAAGGTTGCCATGTGCAATCCACATCTCACTATACAGCTTCTCCCAGAAAAAGAATGTGTCTTAAATTGGTCCTAATGGTATGCATGACATGGCCAAAAATTTAGAGATGTGCCATGCTCCCCTGAGATCCTACCAAGCTAGTGGCCCAGGGCCACCTTATCTCCACTGTGTAACACATACTGGTGTGGGAGGAACAGAGGAATAAGCTTGCTTGATCTGAAGGACAAAATGCATCTCTCTTTTTGAAGGGCCACGTCCAGCATCCTGACTCCAGCCTGGGATGAGGTCCAGGCCCATACAGCCCACGCAGGCACTTAGGGAAAACAGAAGGCTGTGGCACACCAATAGGTTGCTTGATGCTGGCAGTGAAGGACATGTGGCACCTGGTGGAGGGGACTGTTTCCTATAGCCAAACGAAAACCCATGAGAGGACACAAGAAGCCCTCTGTGGTCCCTGGGAATCCCTCCAACTTGGATTTCTCCCAGAGCCTTTGCATCAGGTCCAAGCCTGTTCAGATGAGTCTAGCTGTCCCAGTTTCAGCTGGGATAGAGTTAATTTTCTTCCTAGTAGCTGGCATAGTGCTGTGTTTTGGATTTAGGGTGAGAATAGTGTTGATAACACACTGTTGTTTTAGTTGTTGCTGAGCAGTGCTTACACTAAGCCAAGGACTTTTCAGCTTCTCATACTGCCTTCCAGTGAGGAGGCTGGAGGTGCACAAGAAGCTAGGAGGGGGTACAGCCAGGACAGCTAACCCAAAGCAGCCCAAGGGGTATTCCACACCATATGATGTCATGCTGAACAAAAAAAATGGCGGGAGTTGGCCAGGGGGCATGGCTGCTGCTCGGGAACTGGCTGGGCACCAGTGAGTGGGTGGTGAGCAATTGCACTGTGCATCACCTATTTTGTATATTCTTTTATTTTTTTTTTTTTTTTTACCCTTCCTTTTCTGTCCTATTAAATTGTCTTTATCTCAACCCACGAGTTTTACCTTTTTTCCGATTCCCTCCCCCATCCCACTGTGGGGGAGTGAGTGAACAGCCATATGGTGTTTAGCTGCCTGCCGGGTTAAACCACAACAC